ATACGAGTTCAAATGCAGGCAGAAACAATGGGGTTTGGCTGCTTCAGGGCCAACACACACAGCAGAATGTACCACCCTGTTTTTGTAATGGAAAATGGCTTTCCTTAACAATGAAAACAAAGCTTGTGTAAAAAAAAAAGGCAGCATCAAGTCCCTTAAAACAAACACGCTATGCAGCTGACATAGGATTGGCAACACCACTCAGATCAGGATACGTTTACACCAGGTTTCGCCCACAAAATACACAGTCAATTCACTTTGCAGTACACTCTGCGAAGCACTTTTGAAATGTCTTGAAGACGTTTCAAGGATAAGAATGATTAGTAGTATTATGTCAGGCACTGCAGGAACCTTGTACCACCAGTCAGGTCCATTATGTCAAATTAGAGAATCCATTCAAACTTTATGTTTCCCCACTTCCAATTTTCCCTCAAGTAAGCAAACAGCCATCATTCACCTGTAAAGCGAGACATTTAATATCGCCAATTCACTTCACAGTATATTCTGTGAAGGGCTTTGATACGTTTCGAAGACTTGATAAGTAAAGTGCTTTATCAAATGCAAGGATTATTATTATTATTATCATCATCATCACATTCACTTCCTTCAAGATACCACACCGTCCCCCAAATCCCTGCGCTTAATGTGAACGTCAATACATGTCTGTCTGCACTTGGAAGTCCTTGGCAGATGCTGCATTTTAAAATATTATTCTTTTAAAATATAAATCATGCACTTAAAAACATTTTAATGAGGAGATTTGAACCGGTCATATTCTGGTTAATGCATAAAAATGCGTAACTAGGTCAGAAAGATGTATTGCACTTGGCTTGCTGAGCAAACAGCAGACTGGTAAACCCTTGTACCTCAGTCACTTAATAATTCCTTCAACAAAATCAATTTAATCAAAGGAAACAAACTGTCCGCAAGAGTTTGTGTCGCGGATAGAATTGATTGGAAGTGCTAAACTATTCCAGGTTCAGGTGAAATGTAATGGTCGGGTGAGCAGCTCTAAAACTAGGCTGTGGGTAAATACTTCAATTAGGAATTGTGTCCAATATTAAAGGATAGGGGAAGGATTTGGTAAATTCAAAATTCTATTTCATCTCTCCCCCGTTTTCTTCCCTAATCATCTCAAGGACACCATGCTCCCTGCTGGATGGTTCCATAGGCGTTCGTACCCTAATAAAAATCTTTATTACTAATAATTAATATTACTAATTTAATACTAGAGAGACGGTGGAAGGAGAAAGTGTTGTTTGTTTAAAGAACAAATTAAATGGATTTCTGCGAGAACATAATATTTCGGGATACAATGCGGTATATCGTTTGGGACACGACGTGTCAAGCGACTGCCAGGATGGTGGAAGGCGAACTAGCTGGACCTTGGTCTTCATTCACGAGGAAATTCTTATGTTCTTAAATTCTTAGTACCCCCAGAGACAACTCATCAAAGAGGCCATCTTTCATGTACAAGCGAAAGGAATCACAGCCAAGCAAACTAGTGTATCATTCATTTGATACCCATGTACATGTGCTTCCCAGTATGCATAACTAGCAGCAGGAATCCTGACTTGGCGCTTCCTTAGCCCGAAGGGTTAACTGAGACTCCTCCCGAGCTGCGCAGGATGGAAGGAGAGGAAAGTTACCCAAAAGATATCGTCAAAGAGATGGGTCTTCAGGCAGGTTTTGAAGACGGAGAGAGAGGAGGAAAGGCTCCACGACTGGGGAAAAATGGCTAAAAGTTTACCAAATAAAGGTGGGGGCAGAATGAGGGGATCTGAGTTGGATGTCCTGAGGGACGGGAGCCAGTGGAGCCAAGCAAGGATGGGGTGATGGCCTTGCGGTGCCTATTGTGGGAGGGCTGGGGCTGCAGAATTCTGGATCGAGCCGGGACTTGGTGAAGGTGTGGATGAGTGTCTCTGTAGCCTTGGGGGATGGTGGGGAGGGCTTGAGATAGGGGTGAAAGCAAGCCATGTTGCAAAGACAAGGGAAAGCTGAGGGAGTGAGAGGCAGAGAAATAGATGTCTGCCATTCATGATCGTGTATAAATGGATCACGTCCCTAAGGCTGATGTCTCATCAAGGAGAAGCATACCGATGGTGAAGGATAGAGCCCTGAGGAACTCCTCATGTAATTACGCTGGGACAAGATGAGAAGCCATTGGAAGACACAAAGTGAAGTTGCTGCTGGGTTGGTAAGAGTGAAACCAAGAAATGACAGAGCCAGGGAGATGGAGCAAGGACGAAAGAGAAAGAGAGCGAAGGAAGAACAGAGCGGTCGACGGTCTCAAATTCAGCAGAGAGATGAGGGAAGGACAAGGAGGAAAAGGGAATCCTGGTTGCAGGTGAGAACACTGTTGGTGACTTTGACCTGGGAAGGGTCAATGCTGTGGGCTGGGTGGAAGCCAGAATGGAGGAATTCATGGAGGGAGTGGTGGGAGAGGAAGGAATGAAGCTGGGAGGTGCCGAATTGTTCCTGGACCTTGGAAAGGAAGGGCAGTTTGTAAATGGGACAGGAGCTGCCAAGCATGAAGGGATCCACTGAGGGCACTTGAGGAGGGGTGTGATGATGCTGGCACTTTTGAGGCGGGGATACTGTGCTTTTGAAAAGTGAGAGATTTTTTGACGTCGGCTAGCAGTGTCGCGAGGAGAGGAATCTAGGCGGACAAGAGCGGTGTTGGAGTGGGGTCAAGGGAGCAGGTGGTGGGTTTCTTGTGGGATGAGGGAGGCATAAGTAGGGACAAAACTTATAAGTTACATAATTCTCTGTTTTTGTGTTTTTCTGGAGAAACCCCCAAGTCCTTTGTTCAATCAAAAAGCCTCCTGGCCAACCCCATAACTTGGCTGAATCCCAAAAGGTAGACCATATTTGTCCACTGTTGCATGCTCTAGACCTCTGCAATTGACAGAAGGTTCCTCTGCCCTGGATGACGATACAATCAGAGCAATGGTGGAGCAAGACAATGTCTCGCTAGAGGACAATGAATATGATGTGCATCCATCAGGAAACCACAAGACAGCTATGGCAAAATATCTTTGGTGAACACTTCCAATAATAGTTCCATGTACCCGTATCAACGTAGACCTTTCCCAAAGTGATAACAACTCTGACTTTAGGGCCCATGGTCGATTCCCGGCAGGGCAAAACTTTAGGCAAGTTTTCCTACTCCACATACACACTTCTGTTTATCTATTAATAAATAGGAACCCGCTTGTTAGATGATTGGGGGATCACTTTCTGGGGGTAATAATCCCTTCAAAAACTACTACTAATAATCCACGACTGTTTGTGGGACGCTGCTGTGTGCAATTGGCTGCCGCGTTTCGCCCACAAAATACACAATCACTACATTTCAGATCACTCCGTGTTTTGAGTTGTTTTTGAGTATGTTTTGTCTCCATTTTGTTAGCGTATGATGTCGTTTGCGGCCAGTGTGTATTGGCAGGAGGGAGATTCAGACAGTAACATAATCGCAGCATCAGAATAATGCAACTCGGATGGTTTTGTTGAGCTCTCATCATTAAAACCATCATTTGTGTTGGAGCTTCATCAATGAAACCATCCATTAGAGAAAACAAAATCCTTGGAAAAGTCCTCGTGTTTCTCTGAAACAAACAATCATACTTCTCGTAGGGAAATGATGGCGTACAACAAAAACAACTAAAAAGATCATATTCAACAGTAGCAGCCAATTGGATTGAAAATCTTAAATGTCTCTCATTGTCAATAAAGCAGACACCAAAACCTTTCTCTGCGTGATACCAGCCAGCAACGTCATGGGCAGATATGGGCAGCAAGTGGCTCATGCATTTAAATTGGTACCAAATGATTGATTTATCTGTGCTTCCTTTACATGACATTTTCACCAGAATAGATAACTGCTCCGACCATAAGACGTAGGAGCAGGAATAGGCCATTTGGCCCCTTGAGCCTGCCCCGCCATTTAATAAGATCATGGCTGATCTTCTAATCTAATTCCATTTATCCGCTCTATCCCCATATCCCTTAATCCCTCTATCCTTTAGAAATGACAACTTGCTCAAGAATGGCTTCAGGTGCTCATTTGTCCCTATCACTTTTGCTGATGATTTAAAGTTGCAGTCTCTTTCGGTTTTGCTTGTCCGGACATGTTGGAAACCCTTCAGAAGCGCAGTGACTGGGTGCGTTTAAGAATACTGGAGATTGGTGTCAGACAAAGGAATGTTAAATGTGTTGAAAGAGGACTTCGAAATCAAATATTAAATTGTGATAATTTGGCAGGTTCAATTTGTCCATTTTCCTTGTTAGACAAACTCAGGGACTATCCTTACAATAAATGTAATCAGTAAGAGGTGCTTTTTTTTTTTGCAGCTAACGTTACAGTGATTTAAGATCACCTTAGGGAATGCTTAAATAACTGGTGTCAGATGAACCAGTCTGGAAGCACAGCTCAATAGAAGCCCAACACACGCTCGATGCAGGAGAATGGGGTGATAAGGGTTTTACTATCTTAGTGCAGTACCACGACGCACACTCTGGGCTCCTCCCAAGACTTGGTTCTTGCCAACCTGCGCCTAATACTTTCCGGAATTAGGTAAGCAGGATGTAACCCTCCAGGGAATGACAGAGAGATTGAGAGAGAGAGAGAGAGAGAGAGAGAGAGAGAGAGCGCATTCCATTCTTACAATCCATCTCTGGGATTTCTACGTGTAGGTGAGATGCCTGGAAATCTCAGCTTGGTTTGGAGACCCTTAAGCAACGGTGATGGATTTCCACGTGTCAGACACCCGGCTGACCGCTGCACCCCCCACCCACCCCAGAACCTGTGCATTTGTAATCTCAACTTTACTCCCATGCAGTGAGGGCAGAACAGAGCATCAGGAGGGTTTCCACAAGGACAGTCAAACTCTGGCCAATTCATGCAAAACTCTCAATCGACCGCGGGCCGGTTGCTGCAGAAAGAAACAAACTCTTAAAACCACAGACCAGCAAAAATAAAATCACAGTATTGGCATTACCTTTCAGATTCCTGGTCTACGAACTGCCTGGTGTCAAATGGCGCAAAGCTGCTCATGTCCACGTAGCCGTCGTTCTCACAAGCCGAGGAAAATGCTCTGCTGGGATCCTCGAAAAACTCGGTGAAGGTCCCAGCCCGTGCGCACCTTCTGGGAGGGATTTGGATATTTTCGTAGTCCGAACTCATGGCTGGAATGTTCTCGTAGTCGGAGGTGTCGGCGTTGGGGAACGAAATAGATCTCGGTTTCGTTAGAGGGAGCGACATATAAGAATGTCTTGACCGGTCCTCAAAGGACTCCACTCTGGACACGGTTCTGCTGAAGGTTTTTGGCATCCCTTTCTTCTTGCCGTCCTTGTAAAACAAAAACGTGGAGGCAGAGTCTGACGCCCTCATCTTGCCCGACCGGGATTTTAACTGGGGCGAGTTTCCCAAACTCCTTCTGTCAAAATCCAAAACCCTCGCCGACCCGTGATGGCCGATTTCGGAAGCTGTTCTGCACATGTTAACTTCCACCCCGATCTTGCTCTCGATCTTCTTCTTGAGGGACAGTTTGATCGGTAAGAAGCGCTTGAACGACGATTTCTTCTTGGAGCTCTGCTTCAAATATTTATCCGGAGATTCGTTTTCGATTAAAAGCGACGGTGAACTCTTAGTGATGGGTTTTTTGGTGATGCTGGCTAGTTCGAAAGGGGGTGGTATATCCACGACTGATGAAGGATTTGAGACACCAAATAATGGGACGTGGATTCTCTTTGATAAACTACTCGATGACACAACAACGCAGGGTTGAAAGAGGTTCTCATCTTTCCTCTTCATTCTGCTGTCCTCCATTGATGAGCCATCTGTTTCTCTACAAACAGAAATAGACAGATCCCTGCTTTCTACAGAATACGAGCGAGGGTAAAATAAGCAGCGTTTGGGTTTTACAGGTATAGTCCTTATGTTCTCACACAGTTCACCGTCCATCTTCACCCCACTGTGCTCCTCTGCAACTGTTCCGTCAGGTTCCTGGGATGAAGGTGGTGCTTCAGATTCTGGGCCAGTTTCTTCTGGAACAGTCTCTGGGACTTTGCCAGTCAGAGATCTTGTCCTGGTAATAGTGTTTCTTCTGTCTACAGTAAAAGCTCGATCGCATTCAGCCTCGCCATTGGTTTCGTCCACTGACCCCGAATCATCGCTCACAAAATACACACACGGCAAGTCGTCTATTTTGTCTATCCGTTCTGCTTCTTCCAACAACAATGGCCCACTTTCGTTTCCCGACTGAGGTTCTACTTCACTGTTTGTAATGTCTACGCCACTCTCCTCTGCACCTTCATTATAGATCTCGGATATCTCCGCAGTCTCTTTCTCCTCATCCAGCTCTCGGTTTTCCTCATGCGTAGGGACACAAGAGTCTGTGGATTCTTTTTCATCCAGATCATCTTTTTCTTCACGGACGCTCGATGATTCTCCGAAGTCTACCTTTTCACCATCGCCGTTTCTTTCTTCAAACACATCCGATGTTTCTGTGGGCTCTTGTTCGGCTGTAGAGATACACAATGATTCTGTATGTTCTTCATGAAGCTCACTCTGTTCATCATCTGCAGGGACACAGGTTAATGCTGTTGCTTCTTCAAAAGGATCGTTTTGCTCTTCAGTTTTCAAAACAGACAAAGATTCTGCGTCCTCTTCGAGGCTGTCTGGCTCTTCAGTGCGAGGGGTATTTGACGATTCTATTAGCTCCTCATTTAATTCTTCTTTGTCTTCAAATGCACAGATGTCTGATGATTCGATGTACTGCTCTTCATCGAGCCCCTCGTTCTCTTCCATTATACTCGATAACTTATCGTCAATGCAATCTTCATCATTAACTATATATACCTCAGGCACTGAGTCGCTTTCCAATAATGGTTCAGGATTTTCTTCTGAAGTGCACTCATCTAGAACAGTATCAGTAAGAACAGCATCGCCATAAGCTATGTCACAGTCTGGACCTTCTTCAACCACTTCACTCTCAAGGAGTTGTATGTTTGACAGGTCTTCGCTAACGCATGGATTATGAGCGTCTGTGAATAACTCACTATCCTCAAATGTTGGTTCTCCCTGGGGGAACCCATCCAGCTGTGAAACACTGTCCTCCTCCAGTGGAACTATTTGGCAATCAGTGTCGTCTGTGTACGGTTGAGCGCCATCTTCCCTGCATTCATTTTCTGTTTCATTCTCTTCAACAACGGGCGATTCCGTCCTTCCTGATGCACTTTCAGCCTCTCCCAAAACGTCTGAAACCAAAAGACCAACATTTGCAACTTCCATATTGAGCAACCGATCAGATGCTGTAGAGTTTTCAAGAGAATCACAATTCAGCAATTCTTCCGAGCTTAAATCTTCACTCATTGCTTCCTCAAAGCTCTGGTTTACCTCTTTGGGATCTACGTCAGATGAAAGATCCTCATTGCAGTTCCTGCTGCTCGAGGCATTATCTTCATCGAGACTTCCAACTTTTTCAGTCGGGTTTGTCGATTGACTCTCTTCAGTGTCATCTGACGAGTCAACATTTGCAGTTTCGTCATTGATACCCTCATCTTCGCGGTGCAGTTCTTCAGGACTGGCGATGTGTTCATCGTTTGCATCAACTTCCTCTGTTAGACAAACACCTTCAGTTATTTCTATTCCAATAGAATCCAAACATATGCTGTTGCTCTCATTTTCCTCATTAATTTCCTCTTGAGAAAATGAGACTTTCCCATTAGTGCATCGGTTTAGGTCATTGTGCTTGTGTAACTCGGCAGGTTTTAGCTCGGCAAACGGCAGGTTGTTGGGCACGTTTGGTTTGGGGGCAAGCGGTGGTTTAGGACCCCTGGACGCTGATGTTGGGCTGGGCAGAAGATCTGGTTTTGGTACCAGAGAAGGATGGACTTTTGGAAGAACCAAATGATCCAGAAACTTGGGTTTTGGTGCTAAAGGTGGTTTCTTAAGGTCTAGAAAAATATATAGCAATTAGATTTTGTACAGACATAGAGTGTGAATGTACGTTAGCACACAAGAACACTGACGCGCCTCAAGAGTACAAACAGGGAGTGGAGAGGTAATTGAAGCCTCATGATCGAGTCTTTATAAAACCTGATTATTCCTAAATTGCAAGCTGTTACGGATAGAGTTTGTCTTGTGCTACTGCTTCTGAAGTGCAAATTAATTCCTTCAAACAGGAGCATCTATCAAGGTTCAGCATCTGCTCATCAGGCAATTATGCTTGATAAACTATCTACCCTTGTTAATTAAGGTTTCATTAAGCTGAATTGTAAACTGCTCTCTGTGGGGGAACTGATTGTCTCAGCACAGACAGATATTTTGCTGCACTTTTTAAAGAACTCGAGGATTCCAACCAACCCATTTAATCGCTCGAGAAGATGATCTGCAAAGTTACTCCGCTCTCCCTAATTCTACTCGTAATTCGCAATCTCATTCCTAAACGTACACCTGTTCATAAAATAAAAACAGAAGTCGCTGGGAACACTCAGCAGGTCAGGCAGCATCTATGGAGAGAGGAAAGTGGGTTAACGTTTCAGGTCGATGACCTTTCGTCAGAACTGGTGGGATGTTGGAAGGGAGCAGTTTATCTATAAGGACTTCTATTCACCTCTGTTTAGTTGTTAATCGATGCAACATTCATTTCTTTTGCTTTCATTTATTCCATAGAACCCTGGACATTTATAGCAGAGAAGTCAATATATGGGCCATTGTGTCTGTGCTCTTGGAAAGAGCAATCCATGTGCAGGGGGAAGATATCATCCTAACTCAAGGATAGCTCAATGACTGTTCATTTTATATTCCTCTCCTCAATTCTGTTCTTTCCGATGGGATGAAAGCCTCCTCGGTGTGTTGTCTGGGAAAATCCTGCATTGAACAAGTTTGGAAGTTTGGATCATGTCCATTACATCGGAAATCTCATTCCAAGAGGCTACAGGCTGGCCAATGTAGGAGATGTAGCAGCGTCTACACTTTTGAGGTACAATACATTGTTGGAGAGAGTACAGGTAGCTTTGCTCTGCATCTCACCCATGCTATACAGTAGCTGAACTGATGTACCTGGGGACGGAACAATGTAGAGGGAACTTTGCTCTGAATTTAGTCTGTATTAAACGTAGCTGGAACTGCTTGACGTTGACAATGTGTGTCCAGAATTTCAAAGTCTTCCAGTCTCCAATCTTTCAGTTTGACAAACACAAAGTTCTCCAAATATGCTTTTGAAACAAATATCGACCAGAGGCTTGAATGAGACCATTTGCATAAGGTCAAGAGCATCGCTTTCTTATTTGGTATCTCACCTGAAGCCCTACATTAAATGTTCAAAGCAGGAGGACATGTTATATAGTAAGAGTAATCTGTGCCTTCAGCTCCCCTCTTGACTCTCTACCCACTCCTCGCTCCCTCCCCTCACCCTGACCATTTCCCCCCTGCTCGGGTCCCGACCCAACTATCCAGCGCCTTGGGACGTCCTCCCGACGTGAAAGGCACTCTATAAATGCAATCTTGTTGTTGTTGTTGTTGCATGTCTGGCATTTAGGTTAAAGCCATTCCCTCCATCGCCTGCTTAGGTTCCTCCCCTTCCAGCTTCCACCCTTGTCAAAGTCACCAACGACATACTCTCTTTGTGACCTGAGCTCAATCTTCCTCCTTATCCCCCTCAATCGCTCTGCTGACAACTCCATCCTCCTCAATCACCTTCCCTCCCTCAACCTGTCAAGGTACCACCCTATCTTGGTTCTAATCCCTGTTTGACCCATCGCCTCCACCTCCAATGTCTCACCTCCAATGGTTCCTCCTCCCACCCTCACACCCCCCCCCCCCCCCCACAGCACATCTCGGGAGACAGACAATGGCACTCAGCTCCCCAGAGTGAGGACAGCATCCGCTCACACCCATCATCCAGGATATTGGTAGGGAGCACAAAGCTGTCTTGTGCCGCTTTTCACCCACGAAATATAAAATCAATTCGCTTTACAGTGTATCCTGTGAAGCGCTTGGAGACGTCGCGAAGGTGTGATAAGGCGCTGTATCAAATGCAAGGATTATTATTATTACTGTTGTTGATCATTTTCCTTTTTTTTTCTAGCCCAAGGACATCGAGGCTATTTGCTGTCTCTCTCTACTGTTCACCTGAGATCAGCTAATTCTGCACAACATCGAAATGGGGAGCTTCCTGATCTGTCGGCTTCTCAACATCCAGAATAGATTTGTTTTTCACCCACAGCAGCTCCCTTTATCAACCAAATCAACATGTTTGCCCACCCATTATGTTTCAACTCAGTTTATAAGCACAATGAAGCCAAACGGGAGGGGGGGGGGAACTAACCCTTTGAGCACCAAAAAAAATAGTGACCTCAGTCCACCTGCTGTTCCCTTTCCTGACTTACACGGAAACATTTCAGTGCGGTTTTGAATGAAAAATATTATTATAAAAAAAAACTTCTGAACGCTTGGAGCCCCCCCAGTGCATTTTTCAGCATTCGTCTTTAACCACACACCAAAAAATTACAAAGGTGCATTTTCAGCTGAAATGTACCGCGTGGTACCGAAATTTTTCTTTTCAAAAATCGAGTTGTGCCCTTTTATTTTAAGAAAGGCCAATAATTCATTCATTCATTCCATTAATTTCCATTCCAGTGCGAACTCTTAAACACGTGTTAATCCTTATGCGCGGTTTCTGATGTGCCGTACATTATAAAGCAGTTCGCTAACAATGCTTGTGGTCTGTCTGTTTTAGAGATTGATTTAATAATAATAATAATAATCCTTGCATTTGATACGGCGCTTTATTGTGTCTTCGAGACGTCTCAAAGCGCTTCACAGGATATACTGTACAGTGAAGGGACTGTATACCCGGCGGACTTAAGAGAGACAGAATCTGAAGGGGGTGATAGAGAAGGGATTTCACTTCAAATTCCCCAAACTTGCAACAGCTGGAGAAGCAGCTGTTTTAAGGTCTTAAAAGTTTTAAGGTCTAAAAACCCAGACACAATGCAGCTTCCAATACAGTAGCCAAGAACTGAAACTTGTGGAGTATAACAGTTGTTACACAGACAAATAACATCAAACAACTCCCCCGAAAAATACGCATAACATATAGATTGTGCTGTCAGTGTCTGATGTGCTGTGCACCCGAGAGCTGAGATCATGTCATGGAATGGATTTTAACACAGGTTTGCAAAGAGTTTGCACTGGAATTGGAAATTAATACGATATGAGAAATTAATTGTTTGCCTTTCTTCTTGCAGTTAAAAGAACAATTTTTTTTAATTTTAGAAACGAGAACAAAAATGCCAGTGGGTGGAATGGAGTAAGTTTTATGCCGCGATCCTTTTTTTTTAAAAAAAGAATAATTTGCAATTCCAGATGTTATTTCAAAGCTGTGTTTTTCTTTTCCTTTTTTTTTCTGATGTGAAAACCAGGGCAGGCACAGCCCTAACCCTGTCTAAACGGATGTGCATTCAACACAACGCCTTTTTTTCTCTCTCTCTCTTTCCCAACCCTGCCAAAAACCCAAACCCAACCAAAAAAAAATAAAATAAATCAAATCAAATCCAGGTTGGAAAACTGAGTCCCACCACCACCACCACCACCACATCTGAAAGTACTCACCAGGGTTCATTTTCAAAGTATCTTCAGAAAAGTTTTCGAGTCACCAGTGCAAAAAAAAAGAGAAACTTCTCAATTCATTCTCCAGCTCCGCAGAAATCCAAGAAAGTTCCTTCTTCTCATTCGTTTTAAACAGCACCAGGAAAAGAATTATTGACTGCAACAAAAAAAAACTCTCCTCTCTTTTTCTCTCTCTCTCTCTCTTTCTCTCTTTCTTTCCCCTCCTTCTCCAGCAGAGGTTAACGCAAAAGAAAAAAAAAAGAAAAAAAATCAATGATCCCTTTTAGCAAGATTTATTTGGCAAATTGGTGCTTTCTTCGCTGCTCCCTCAAGGCGTTGAGGGCTCCAAGGATTAGCAGGAGTTGCATTAACTGTCCTCCTCACTGCCCGTGTCCTTAAGGAGATGTAATCTGACACAGAGAGAGAGAGAGAAAGAGAGAGAGAGAGAGAGTCAGAAGCATTTCCCTTCTGTTCCTGCAGAGGAAGCTCTTTTACTCACTCATAGCAGTGTCAGTCTGCTATACAGCAACGCAGCCCACAACTGGACCTCTTTCTTAAACTGACACACACCAATTCATCTTTACCTCCCGCAGACTGCCCAGCCCTGAAAGGCAGGCACTAAAACACCAACAGCAGCGGGTATTAGTGGCAATTGCCCCCAGCCACCCTCCCTTGGGCACCAATGTGCGGTTTGCCATGCTGTTGTTGCTCGGTGCATACCCCCAACCCACTTAACCCTCAGGTTAAAACAAGGCACCGTTAAATGGAAGACATTAATGTGTGCCCCCAGGTCTTTTACCTGTGTAGAGGAAGGAGTTCCACACCTTTCCCTTCGCCAGTGCAATTTATTGCATGTGGCAACGCTGAACGTGGAAAAGCCCTCGAAGGTTACAACCCGCCCGCAGTGGGGTAACAACATGCGTAATGAGTGTTAACGTGGGTACACAGTGATACACTTATAATAATAATCCTTGCATTTGATACAGCGCCTTATCACATCGTCAAGACGTCTCAAAGCGCTTCACAGGATATACTGTAGCTTGAATTGACTGTATATTTTGTGGGGGCAATACGGCAGCCAATTGCGCACAGCAGCGTCCCCACAAACAGTCGTGGATTGAGAGACCACATTAGTATTTATTTATTTAATGAAGGGATTATTACCCCCAGAAAAGTGATCCGCCGATCGACTAAAACACGGGTTTCTACTTACTGCAAGATATACAGAGGCACGAGGAGAAAGGAAAGTTTCACCCTGTCGGGGAATAGAACCCAGGTCTCTCGCTTGCAAAGCGAGTGCTCTAACCACTAAGCTACAGGACTCCACAGTGTTATTAAATGTATAAATCTCAGGATCTCAGCGCAGAATTGGCCCATTTGGGGAAATAAAAACTGGAAAGCCTTTAATGAAACACAGATCGGAAGGTATCCACTATCCTCCTGCGAAAAGGCATGAAAGAAAGAAATAAAAATAATAGTCCTGGTCGTGTTGAAAAAAATCCCAAAGCACTTCACGGAATTTTCTGTAAAGTGTAGGGACTGAGTATTTGTAGGTTAATGTGGAAGCCAAAGTGCACATAGGCAATGCGTGACAAACAGCCGATGACTTATTAAATCTGAGCCACAACACCACCACATTACAGTTGTATGCCTACCGCCTATTACGTCGGGAGGACATCCAAGGCAAAGGGCATCCCACAACAGTGAGGAATCCCTTCTCCTTCTGAATAGCACCACGGTGGTCATAAACGTCCGCCTGAAGAGACAGACAGACCTCGATTTGACACACAATCCAAAGGACGGCGCCTCCAACAGTGCAGGGCTCCGATAAGCACAAATGTAGGACCTGAACGCATAGCCTTCTGCACGAGAATCAACTGCTTCGTAAACTCACATATTCACCTGTTCAACAACAACAGGTGTCGTCCGCTTGCTGGTTCAATGTAGTTATAACACATCGGTCTAGGATGTTTCAACAAGGCTGTAACCACCTTAGTACGGCAAGAACCCTTTTAGTAAAAGCAAAGGCTTTCGAACGAGGTCTTCTGGAGAGCCTAGCGTAGCTCCATAAGCAAAGTGGGGGAGACTCTGGCAGTTCCCGGGAACTTGCCCAGCGCCCGAAATGTCCCCAACACATTGACAAAACGCAGATAACATGTCTGAAGGGATGACACTCAGTGGGCTGTGGGGCTGTGAATCAGTGACTAGACCAGTTTTTGGAAGTGATTTGGGTGGAGTTCATGTGGTTGGTGATCTCCAAGTGTTTTGGCCGCCAAAAATGACATAATCATAATAATCCTTGATCCGACTGCATATTTTGTGGGCGAAACACGACAGCCGATTGCGCACGGCAGCGTCCCCACAAACAGTCGTGGATTGAGCGACCAAAGGACGCAGTTGGGCTGAAGTGGACACAGAAAACTGAGGCTCTAGCAGTGAACGCTGGGGGTTTCCTGCACATAAAAGCTGCTGTGTGATTTGGAGGAGTCTGCCCCTCGAAGATCCTTCACAACAGGAAACAACTCCTCTGGGCCCCCCCACTCCGTCAGCGAACAGGACTCCTGTAACAACAAGCAGTCTGACACTGGAACATCGCCTTTCTGTGGCCGGTTTGGGAAGTCCCCACTTCACAACAGATCAGGTTCAACGGACGGTGTCAGGGCATTCTGTGTGTGGGGGGGTGGGGGTTTCCCCCCCAAAAAAGATTCTGTTTTGAATGATATCGCCTGCGACGAAATAAATCTCGATTCTCGGTCGGTGTGGGCTTACAGCACGAAACCGACTGGTGTCGAAGGTCAATCTCATGGGAACAGACAGGAATAGGCCGTTCAGGACCTCCAGCCTGTTCTACCCTTTAGATCATGGCCGAACTGTATTGGCCATGGCACTATTGAAAAAGAGAAGCGAGATTCCTTTCTCCCAGCTCCGTGGCCCAACGGGACATTGCGTTGCACAAATTGGCTGCTGAGTTTGCCTACAAAATAGTCAGTGTGTGCTTTACACTAAATCTCGTAAAGAGCTTTGAGAGTCCTTCCAGCATAGAAGGGCTCGTATAAAATGCAAGGATTAGTAGTATTATTATTACTGCTCTGCATCGCTCTTTACTGCAGTTAGCTGAGAGCTCATGTTGACATTGGGGGTACTGGACGCTAATGTCATAATTATTTTGTTCCTTATTTGCCTACGAAAAGCAATCGCTGCACTTGACTGCAATTACTATAAGAGTCTTGGAGACATAATGCAACGGTAATAAAAAAAAGTGCCTTTCACTGTGATAAGGTGTACAAGTTCGCCGTCAAGGCACCGGTGCAAACCCAATTCTAATTCCCAGTCTAAAATCCAATTGAAAGGACCCTGAGCAAAACCCTCGTCTTTCTATTGATTTTTCCGCGAAGTCTCCGAAATGTTTGGGTTGAAACAAATGGATAGTTATTATAATAATAATTGTTGTATTTGATATCGCGCCTTATCGCGTCTTCGGGATGACTCAAAGCTGAAGTATAGTGGAAGTGAGGTCTCAGCAGTAAGCAGCGGATAAGCCTCCATGTACGTAAGCAACCAGCGATTGTAACTTCACTGTTGTTATTGCCAGGGACACAGCGTCAGCAGTACATGACTGATACACAGGGGGTACAGTGGAGTCCTTTAGCTCAGCGGTTAGAGCACTCGCCTCGCAAGCGAGAGGACCTGGGTTTGATTCCCGGGCAGGACAGGGCGAAACATTCGGCAAGTTTCCTTACTCCACACACACACCTCTGTTTACCCAGCAGTAAGTAAGATCTCAGTTATTAATCGATTGGCGGATGGCTTTTCCGGGGGTAATAAGCCCTTCCAAAAATTTTTTTATAATAATTGGTCACTCATTCCACGACCGTCGGTGGGACGCTGCTGTGCGCAACTGGCTGCCGCGTTTCACCCACACAATATCCAACCCATTCACTTCACAGCGTATTCCGCGAAGCGCTTTTGAGAGGTCGCGAAGACGTGATGAGGAGCTATATCAAATGCAAGGATTATTATTATTATTAGCTGTGCACGAGTGGCAGAGAGCTGTCCTCACCATGCTAAGGCACCTCGCTAACATACATCCTGCCCTTTCATGCAGCCAGTCACAGGGAGAATAGATCGTATCTCATCCTGCGTAAAAAAATGATCATTGACTTTTCTGTGGCCACATGCATTGTCATGTCCTGAGATCCAGGAAGAGCACTGTTTATCTTATACACTGTTTGTATTCCAGGGATTTCCTCAGTTTCTCTCCCCCCCACTCCACCCCCCACCCCCAAACCAATAAAATATCAGCGTTTGAATGGAATGGAACCAAAGCATTACTCACAAAATTCATTGTGAAGAACTGAAGATTCGTAAGCCCCCAGAGATCAGTAAGATATAAGAACAATTAGGTTCATTAGGTCTGAACAACGGTACACAGAGAGTTACTGGATGTCGTCACGTGTGTGCCAATCATCTCGGTAAATTCCCCGATACAACTGAGGTCGCGGGTCAGGCCACAACCAGTAATCACCTACAGTCAATGCGTGAGGCTGCCCGGATAGCTCCAGGAGCCCCACCACCCCATTCGCCCACACAAACACACGGTCACTTCACTTTCAAGTATGGTCTGTGAAGCGCTTTGAGACGTCTAGAAGACATGGTTAGGCGCTCTATCACACGCCGGTTGTTGGTCGATTGGCAGAACACTTTCCGGGAGTAATAACCTCTTAAAAATAATACTACTAATAACAATAACGTGGCCACTCGCTCCACGGCTGTTTGTGGGGACGCTGCTGTGCGCAATTGGCTGCCGCGTTTCGCCCACAAAATATACAGTCAACTCACTTTACAGTGTATCCTGTGAAGCGCTTTGAGATGTCTCGAAGATGTGATGAGGCGCCGTATCAAATACAAGGATTACTATTGTTACATCAAATGCAAGGATTGCTTTAATTAACGGCAATATATTCGGTGAAAATCCTCGTGGTATATTTGAGAAACAACTTGAACTCCTAACCTTCGGGAATTGGAAGCCTTGCACCACGGGATAAAATTGTGCCTGAATCAGAGACGGTGACTGATAATCATGTTTTGATTCCCTCCGCCTCACTGCTAAGTCGTCGGCTTAGAAACCAGACGATAGTTCTCAGATTGGTGATCAGGAGGACTTATTTGGAGGACACACTGCTGTCAGCC